AGGCCAAAGCCACTGTACACTGGGTAAGTGTATTGAATGGGAAGACCAAAGCCACTGTACACTGGGTGAGTGTATTGAATGGGAAGGCCAAAGCCACTGTACACTGGGTGAGTGTATTGAATGGGAGGTCAAAGCCATTGTGCACTGGGTGAGTGTATTGAATGGGAGGTCAAAGCCATTGTACACTGGGTGGGTGTATTGAATGGGAAGGCTAAAGCCGCTGTACACTGGGTAAGTGTATTGAATGGGAAGGCCAAAGCCACTGTACACTGGGTGAGTGTATTGAATGGGAGGTCAAAGCCATTGTACACTGGGTGAGTGTATTGAATGGGAGGTCAAAGCCATTGTACACTGGGTGAGTGTATTGAATGGGAAGGCCAAAGCCACTGTACACTGGGTGAGTGTATTGAATGGGAAGGCCAAAGCCACTGTACACTGGGTGAGTGTATTGAATGGGAAGGCCAAAGCCACTGTACACTGGGTGAGTGTATTGAATGGGAAGGCTAAAGCCACTATACACTGGGTGAGTGTATTGAATGGGAGGTCAAAGCCATTGTACACTGGGTGAGTGTATTGAATAGGAAGGCTAAAGCCGCTGAACACTGGGTGAGTGTATTGAATGGGAAGGCTAAAGCCGCTGTACACTGGGTGGGTGTATTGAATGGGAAGGCCAAAGCCACTATACACTGGGTGGGTGTATTGAATGGGAAGGCCAAAGCCACTATACATTGGGTGGGTGTATTGAATGGGAGGCTAAAGCCGCTGTACACTGGGTGGGTGCATATGCATGACAAGTATCTAATGGAAGCCAGGAGCACTTACTTAACAAGTGACAAACAGAAGAGGATGCAGATATAAAGCATAATAAAATATATTCAAAAATATTCTTCAAGTTACTTACTTATATCACGAACATGAAGAATGAGCCGTGCGACCAGTGCAAGGTATTCTTCCTAGAAAAGAAATCAAAGAAAGCTTAGAAAGAACTCCCATGTGCTGAGAGTATTGGAGACACATTAAATATAATTCGAAATTACTTAGCTGAAAACTAATTATGCAAATCAGAAAATTAATATGACCAGATTTGAGTGTAAAACTAATGAGGTCTGCGCAATGTAACAGAAAATCTATGTCTCCAAGTTTAATTGAAATGTGATTAGAACCAAAAAATTATGAATTATTATGCTTATTAGGGAATTAATATGAACAGATTTTTAC